TACATACAACACACACACACACACACACACACACACACACATATATATATATATGGTTGTTTGCCATCTTTATATGTTTCTATAGTGGATTATGGGATATTGGACAAGTCAAGTGCTGCAATGAAGGTTGGCTCTCACTATCGTTAGCTGTGCAGTGATAGTAATAATCATCTGCAGATGTGTATTGTAACTTCTTCATACATTCTATTCCTTTCTTTGTCTCTGAATGTAGAATGGAATTGGGCCAGCGCATCCTTCCCTGCCGATGTCCAGTCAGTGCGGAATGGCACTGTCACAGCCACCAAGAGGGTATGGCACACTCTAGGCCTGCTTCTAACTTTACCGTTTATGTACTTGTAGTTATATACGTATTCAGCGCAAACATACACCCTCAGGAGGGTAAGGCACACTCTAGGCCTGCTTCTACCTATACAGTTTATGTACTTGTATGTATATGCGAATATAGCGTAAGCACACACCTCCAGAAAAGTAGGGCAAATTCTGGACCTGCTCCTACCTATACAGTTTATGTATTTGTATGTACATGCGTATTCAGAAATACACAGCATTCCTCGTTACAGTGAATGTCAATTGAAGTATATACTTGTAAGTGACAACACACATACACGAGACCTTTGTCTGAAGATCTTTGTCTGGTCGAGGCGCCGTAAGGCGTTTCTATTGGTCCAGTCTGACATTCTATGTACAAGGCCGACCCACTTTACACTCGCGAATAGACGTTTACGTAAAAGATCTTTGTCTGATCGAGGCGTCGTAAGGCGTTTCTATTGGTCCAGCGACAAGTCTGCCGTCAGTATGCACCTGGTGTTGTATTCAATGTGTGACATTGGTGTTGGAGAGCCCTCGAGTTTCAGGGTTTTAGGGTTTTAGGGTACGGCAAGGACAAATAGCCATATATAGCTTAGGCGTCTCATAAATTGAGATTGTACTCTTTTGTTTTGGGATTATTTGTGACTATTAACTCTGTATGTTGTCCTGTTTCTTTTTTTGGTTCTTTTTTTTGGGAATGGCAGTGCATGATTGGTATCAATCTGAGCGCGCGCGTATACGACGTCGAGGGACATTCAATGGAGAACGGCGTGTGGGTGGATGGGACCATGTACGCTGCAGAGGTATGCAAGTGTAGGTATATAGAAGTGGATTACATTTACTGTATGATAAGTGAGGGTATATGTATGATGATCATGCGTACTGTATGTTAAGTGTAGGTATATGCATGTGGATTACACTTACTGTATGTTAGGTGTAGGTATATGTATGTTAAGCATACGTACTGTGTGTTAAGTATTATCATTATTATTATGATGTAAACGGGACTAAGCGTTACTTTTACATCGTCTGTATTGTTCAGATCTAGGTATATGTTTTGATCGGGTACCTATATGTTAGTTTTATGATACAAATATTGTTCAGAGACATAGGTGTAATTAAATATATATCATACAGATACACGCATAAGAGCAAGTTTTAGTGTGACTTCCGACTATCTCCATCGATCAGTATCACTGATTTATGCAAGCTGAACGTACGTTGGCTTAAAGGCCCAATAAAAGGCCACGCGTACACTGTGGAATTTACATGGATTGTACATACCTACCTATATACCTTCAACTTATCAGCTGGCTTACTTTTATGTTATGGGCCAGGGTGTGCACTTCGATGTCCCTCATAGTATCGAGGAACAAGAGACCCGACAATGGAATATCAGATCCCTACCGAACGGAGTAGATCCTACTCCACAGGAGCACAAGGTGATGATAGCATTAAACTTCACACCGTGGGGAGCGAGGAAAGAAAACGACGATAAGATAGTAGCCAAAACAAAGGTAAGCTCACGCACAAAAAGGGAGTTGCCCCAATTGTACACACAAAAGAACATTACCTCAACAATACAATAGATGCACAGTACTTGTCATACAGCATAACAACGATCAAAGGGCGGGCTAATGATTGTAACGATAATTGCAAGATAATTTAATGATAACT